CGATCCTCCTATCTTTCTCCGACGCGCGGAGGTTTAACGTCGGAGGAAACGGCGCGTGGGTTCCAAATCCGCCGGAGAATTACCAATCTTGGGCTGAGAAAAGCCGTTTCCTAGTTCACGACACACTCTGTATGTTATGTATACTCTGTTTCTCACTTTTACCTTTTTGGGTGGGTTTTTGTCTGAAACTCTCAGTTTCTGATTCTTGCAGATTTCAACTACGCCAAGGGAGCGGACTCGGTGCTAGAGGTGAGCAAGGCGGATTTCGACGCATGTAATACCAAGAATCCCATCAAGAAGATGGAAGACGGAGAAACTGAGGTCTCGCTTGATCGTTCTGGTCCGTTTTACTTCATTACCGGCAATGAAGATAACTGTAAGAAGGGACAAAAAATTGCTGTTGTTGTCTTGTCTGTTACTCACGCCGCTGCACCGGGAAATTCACCGCCGGGAATCACACCTCCTCCTTCTACAACTCCACCGGGAGCCCACTCGCCTAAATCTTCCTCCCCTGGTTCTCCGATGACTTCTCCACCGGGTTCGTCTTCCTCCCCTGGTTCTCCGACGACTTCACCGCCGGGTTCAATGGCACCTAAGTCCTCTTCCCCTGTTTCTCCGACGACTTCTCCGCCGGGATCAATGTCGCCTAAATCTTCTTCCCCTGTTTCTCCGATGACTTCTCCGCCAGCTCCTCAGCCACCTAAATCATCTTCCCCTGTTTCACCGTCCTCTGCTCCGGGGTCTTCAACGCCGGGATCAATGGCACCTAAATCTTCTTCAGCGCTTTCTCCATCTTCGGCTCCGGGAGAATCTCCTTCCTCTGCTTCTTCCTCGCCGTCAGAATCTCCGTCAGCAAACTCGCCGTCGAGCCTCTCACCATCAGAGTCTCCGCCGTCACCTTCTCCGTCAGGCTCGGAGCTTGGACCCCCCGGAAATGCTCCGTCAGCCGCCGGTGATATCACGACCCCGGCTGGAGCTCCGGACCAGAAAAAATCGTCGGCGTATGGTATGGCCGCTATGTCGGTAACTACAGTATTAAGTTTGGTCTTTACTATCTTTGTGTCAGCTTAAGAACACTTGGAGGCTCGTTTCATGTCGGATTCGATTTCTTTATTCTATTGTTCTGCTTCCATTTTCGTTTCAACTTTTTTTCTTTTGTTTACCGTAGTTCTGTATCATTATTGAGTATAGTTGGATTGTTGTTTTGTTATAAATAATACTAGACATTACGTTCTAAACATGATATATACTTAGTATATAACTCTAGCTTTTAGTATACAAGATAAAATGATAGCTCTATATTCTTGCAACATTTGGAAAATTGCATGGATGGATTGGATATCAAGTTGGGTCATACCAAGCTAGCTGCATATAGTTCAATGCTTTTAATAAAATCATATTAATGGCTAATTGTAAAAATTTAATACATTTACCTACCAAAGCTCCACGTAAGGGAAAGACATATCAAAGGTGTTTCTCTTTTATATGTTGGTGCTTTTTTTTTCGAACGAATAATTTGGTGCTTTTTCTTTATGTCAATATCACCCATGCAAGAAAGTTCTTTTTATTTTCTACTTTTTATTTTTGTAAATGAAATTGACAAGATACTCATAAGTCTTGCTGTATTTTCTTCTTTTTCTTGTGGACGCTGTATTTTCATCCATTTATCACTTTACTAATCTGAATTTCTTATATCTCCCTGTCGGCAGTAGAAAACAGCGGACCTACACGAGTTTCGCATTCATGTGCATCATCTATAGATAAAGGATTTTTTTTTTTGATTAGCGTTGGGATTT